CGCTACGTAGCGCTAACTTCGGCTAAACACACCCAATTATTTGTATAGACAAAAATGAAATAACTCAAAGAATCTTACTTCTTAAGCCTATTCTACATTAAGCGCAAGATGCTCTTGCAAGAAGCAGGTCTTGTGGAATTGACCAATCACAGTGATCAATTGGCTCATTTGATCAATGCGATTAGTCAATTCCATTCGAGATCTACTTGCGGCTGCGTTCCGAGTTACGCATTTATCTATAGTACACGTCGCGCATAATATAGATAAATGCGCGCATATGCGTAACTTGGAACACAGCCTGCGTTTGCATCTTGCGCTTAATGTAGAACAGACTTTAGGCCTGTTCTACAATATAGTCGTAAGCTGTAAGTCATAAAAAACTGACCAAACACAATCGATTATTCTTCTATGATTTGTCTGTGATTGGTATATCTTACAACTTACAGCTACGACTATATTGTAGAACAGAGAGTCGATTCTGTATCCATGCAATATAGTGAAAATTACAAAACTGAGCAAATTTACTAATTGGTGACCAATATTTTAGTAAAGATATTTTAGTAAAGTCGCTCACTTTTGTAATTTTCACTATACTGCGAAATACAGAATCGACCTCCAGGCCTTAAAGCTATCACACATAAAATTACTTAAGACTGTAAGACGTAACCGTAAGAAAATTGACCAATAAGAAATTTACGTCCGAAAGTGATGGCGATATAGTATACTTTCTGATTGGTCAATTTTCTTACGGCTACGTCTTACGGTCTTAAGTAATTTTATGTGTGATGGCCTTTACTCTATACTGCCTACTTCCATTGTAGACGACCCTTTATGCATTATACAAAAGTCTGTGCTTTGGCCCTAAAGCCTCTTATACAATGGAAGGAATAGCGATAGCGATAAAAATAACCAGTTTTAAAGAGTTTATATTTATAAATAACGGCAGGAACAGCAGAATCTAACATACAAAAATACACATGTATCAATGCAGATCAGAAAACGGAATTAACAATAGCAATAAAATTTCCGACGAGTTGGAATTCTGTGTCTATTGCTTATCGCTATTACTATTTTCTCGCATTGTACAAGGGGCTTAAAACTGCTTTTACATGGAGCGTATGTACGGCGTATGACGGCGTCATTAATTCGAAGAATAGGCGCGGGGATCGGAGGGCAAGCGGGGCGGTTGCTCGTAGCGCCAATGGGCGCCGTACTAACTAACTAGTAGCAATCGGGTGTCCAGTTGTGGACACCCGATTGCTACTAGTTAGTTAGTACGGCGCCCATTGGCGCTACGAGCAACCGCCCCGCTTGCCCTCCGATCTCCGCGCCTATTCTTCGAATTAATGACGCCGTCTGTACACAGCGCGTCAGGAATTCGAAGAGTAGGCGCGGGATATCCTTGTTTAGTGACGCGATGATTGGCGGACAAGAAAAGTAGTAGAAATAAAAAATAGCGTAGTGGGGCGATAGAGAAGCACCGAGTGATAAAGGGGCGATTGACAGTCAATAAGTAGTTATAGTATAGATTAATTTCAATCCGTTATTATTTGTTAAAAATCATTGGTATAAATTTGAAAAAATAATTGAGTGTAACAAAAAATACAAAAAATAACAGAAGTGTTACAGAACCGGTTCCTAACCAAAGTCGTTACATTTGTAGTTATGTAGCGTTATGGCCTGGTTTATGCGGGCAAATAAGGCCTTGTTTTGGCCTTGTTTATGCGGGTAA